AAGTTTTCGTGCGTTACCCCGTCCACAGTTTTTCGTAATCGGAGGGGTTGAGCTAACGTCGCTTGCCTCGATGGCTCGAGTGACGCGCTCGGTGAGCTCGCTAACGGGCACGTTCGAGTGAAATCCGGGTCCGTCGTTCGTGATGGGGTCGGCATAGCCCTCATGTGGCATTCCACTGCTCCTTAACCTACAACCCGATAGATGCCTGGGTCATTTTGGAAACCAACCCGGGTGGCCCGCTGGCCTCCCCTCGATGGAGATTCTATGGGTTTGGCTCGAGGTTAGGATCGAACGAGAAGGTTGAGATGACCCTGTCTGCATCGGGGCAGATTGGGCGAGGGCCGCTTGGGGCTCATCTGTGTTTTCTCCCCTGGCTCTGTTTGACGCTAGGTGGCCTCGAGCCCTTCGTGGGCCGGCCTTCGAACCCCGGTCGGTCGTTGCTCATGTTGAATGAGGCAACTACTACTTTGTGACGCAACACGGAGCGTTGTGATGCATTTAACTGCATATGCGATGCCTCGAATGTACGGAATGAATGAATGCGTGTATAGATGAGTTAATGACAGCAGATGAATGAATGTTTATATAAAGAAATAGTGGGGGTTGGTAATGTTACCTTGATGGCTCGAGTGACGGGGTTTGAGGATCTCCAATCAGAAATGTCCGACCGGGATCCACGCTCGTCGTTCGTGATAGAGTCGGTATGGCCCACATGGGGCGTCCCTTTGCTCCTTACCTATATCTCGATGTTTGTCTGAGCCATCCGATCGACTCAGGAAGCCGATGGTCTCTCCGGACTCAAGAAAATCGGTGGCATCGTTGTCCTTTTTGGGGGACGTGATGCAGCTTAATCTCTTGGAATTTGTCCTCGAGCTTGCGCACCTCTTGGCAATATGCTGCCATGAGGGGGCTTTTGCAGGAGGACTCCTTCATGACCTGATCGATGACCAGCTCCGAGTTGCCGCGAACGTAGAGTCGCGTAGCGCTGAGCTCGATGGCGATGTGCAGCCCGTTGATGAGGGCCTTGTATTCCATGGCGGTGTTTGAAGCCAAGAAATGGAGGCGGATGGCGTAGCGGAGCCTACTCCCGTCCGGGGAGATCAGAACCACTCTAGCCCCTGAGCTAGGCGCCATTATAGACCCGTCGAAGTACATTGTCTAGTACTCATGGGTGACGTCCGGGTCGGTAGCTGGACCTCCGTCCATTCGACGACAAAATCTGTGAGAGCCTGAGATTTAATAGCGGTACGGGGGATATACCTGATGTCGTGGCCCATGAGTTTGAGTGCCCACTTGGAGATCCGTCCCGCGACATTGCGGTTGCGGACGATGTCTCCGAGTGGGTATCAAGTGACGACCGTGACTTCGTGGTCGGTGAAGTAGTACAGGAGCTTCTGAGTCACTATCAGCACGGCGTATAGGAGTTTCTGCACCTGAGGGTACCGGACCTTGGGGTTGGTGAGTACCTCCCTGATGAAGTATACGGGTCGCAAGAGGCCTGATAGGACTCCGGTCTGAAGGGCCGAGAGTGACAAGAGCTCCTGCGTGCGCTAAATATTTGAGCGTATGCTCGAGGTTTGAACCTAGTGGTTCTGTTGTTGTGTGTTGAATCGATCTAAGTGAACTGATGGCCCTCCCTGTTGGGAGAGAGTGCATCCCCTTTTATAGATGAAGAGGATGGCCTTACAAGTGAGAGAGGAAGAGTGTACGTATGCTAAGTCTTGTTGCTCACGCCATCGAGTACAAGATGATTGTAGACGCCCATAACACTGTTAATGTCAGATGCATGTGGGAGGTTGCGTCGTCTTCTTTTGGTATGGCAGATGTCGGTGCCTGCCATACTGTTGATACCCAAAGGTATGTAGGGGGTTTTACCATGTTCGCCTGGTATGGTAAATGCCGACGCCCACAACACTGTTGATGCCTAGAGGCATGTGGGGGAGCCTTACCGTGTTTGTCTGGTGTGTGAGTTGATGGCGCCCACAACACTATAGGGCAAATATTAGCGCCCACAACACTGCTTGGGTTCTGACATGCTTGGAAGGTTGTAGGGTATCCTTCTGACATGCCCTGTTGGTACTGTTCTACAGGTATACAGGGTACGGTCCTCGATATTGCGGTTGACTTGAGTGCCCTGCCTTACTTTCTCCGCCCGTTTTCTGGTCCTTACCGAGCGGGCGTCCCCAATCGGTTGGTCCCAGTCGGCTCCGACTGCGCCAGTCGGAGAAGAGTTGTAAGCAAGGGTTCGGTGCATCCCCGGTCGGAGACGCGAGTCGGAGTCGAAAGTGGTGTTTGGCCAGGCCTTCCGGTCGGAGAGGCGGGTCGGAGGCGGGCCGAAGTTGAAAGCAAGCGTTGTTCCTCTTAGGGAGGCCTTCTGGTCAGAGAGGCAGGCCGGAGTCGGAAGCGGGCGCCGTTCCTCCTCGGCCAGGCCTTCCGGTTGGAGATTGGATCGCCCTTCTGGCCTATCGTTTTTAGGTATTTGGGCCGGCCCAGGAGTTGTGCGTTGTTCGCAACATCGTCTGCTGGACCGAGCCTTTGCTGGGAAGCCGGTCCATGAGGGACCCCAGGTTTACGAACCCGACACAACCTTTTGTTTCAATGAACTTGCTAGCGTTTGGACGCTGCTCGCACAGGGAGCAAGCGAGCGGCTAGTGTGTCATGCTCGCGAGCGAGCACACCAATAGTGGGCCCGCGCCGCCCCGAACGTTGCCCACGCCGCCCCGAATGTCGTCTGCGCCGCCAGCCGCTTCCCACACGCATCCCATGTGCAACACCGGATCTACTTTTAAAACATCTAGATACAACAGTTGCAACGTATAAAAAAGATAGATGAAACACTTGAAACAAACCTCTGAAACACTTGCGAAAACGTCTGAAAAACATTGCAAACATATACAACATCCTGATGAAACACTTGCAAACATACGTATGAAACACTTGAAACATATGCTTGCAACATGCATGTATATGCAACATCTAGATCTACTTTTGCAACATCTAGATAAACCGCTTGCAACATTCATCTAGAATAGATGAAACATTTGAGATATACACTTGAAACATACATGTATAGCCATTACAACATGTGCAGCATCCTGATCTACTTTTGCAACATCGATATGCAACGCTTGCAACATGCCTCTCAAACTTCTGAAACATTTTGAATTGTACATTTGCAATATGCATTGTATCTCGGTGCGGCCTCCTCTGCCGTCTTCATCGGGGCGCCGGACCGTCGCAGCTGTAGCAAGAGGCGAGGCCAGAGGGCTTCTGCACCAGGACCCGACGCTTCTCCTTGCGCTGGTGGCGTTGTGAGCGTTGTCGGGCGGGCGCGGAACAGAAACAGGCTCAGCGGCAGGAGCAGCAGGTTGAGCGGCGGAGCAGGAGCGGCGACAGGAGCGGCATGCGGAACAGGAGCAGCAGCAAGAGCGGCACGCGGAACAGGAGCAGGTGAAGCAGGGCGGGTGGCGGAGCAGGAGCGAGCAGCAGGGTCAACGGAAGGGATAGACGCGGAATGTTTATTAGGCTGGGACGCGGGTTCATGAAGGAGCATCCGGACGGGACGGACGTCCTTCATACAACATTTCCGTTGTTTCAACTCTAGAGAGATATCTTGATGCGGTTGCTCCTATCTCTTCTTTTTTTATTACTAAGATGAAGTGAGATGGTCATAAATCTCACTAACTCGGTCATCCTCCTGCAAAAAGAATGCGACGAACTGACATCTAAATCATCTCATCACTCGATGTTCGTAGCGCACCTTTATAATGCTTTATGCAGAATTATCTATTTTCCTGAAAAAAAAAGCTACAAGAAACAACAAGAACTTTCACACAAGATATAACCATAATCAAATAAGGACCAAATACTCTGCAGTTAAGAAGGATCCTTCCTTAAGTACATACATGCGTGATGTGCGATTTGCGTTGGCATGCAACGCAAACTTTCTAGCTCGTCGTACACCCTTCGGAAAGCTTGTTAAGTAAACCCAAAAGTCGTTTTCTGTCAACAAAAAATAGAGTGCCTTTGCAGCTTTGCTCACACACTTTCATGTGAACAAAATAAACACTTCGCATGACATCAACCTCTCCATATTCCAAACAAGCCCCAAAAAGCACACACGCAAACAAAGAATCACGCACATCCATGCATGCGTCCGTCAGCACGTAGTAGAAGCCATGCTTATCAGTAAGGACTGTTTGATCAAGCTCCTAAAATTTTTAGGTGCTGAAAGTTTTAGGAGTTTTATGAGGCTGTCAAAATTTTCTAAAAGAGTGTTTGGTTCCATCTCTAAAACTGACTAAAAGCAATAAATAAGGCGCGGGTGGAAGGGAGGATGGGAGAGAGAGAGGGGGGGCAGGGCAATAAAGGAGGGGTAGTGGGGTCCAGGATGAATTTTAGGAGCTTTTAGGAGGGGTGGAGCTCCTAAAGTTTTTGGCCCCTTCTAAAGTTTTTAGATGCTTTTAAGAGGAGGTGTTTGGTTCTTTAGGCAAATTTTATCCAGATTTTAGCTCCTAAAACTTTTAGGAGGGGTAACCAAACAGGGCCTAAACCACCCATGTAGATGTACCCTGTTTGCCTGAACTTATCAGCCGTACCGTTTCAACAAAATAATAGTGTTTTTCTCTCACAACAGAACCGTAGTTGTAGATACGTCCATGAACCACACAAAGACAAGCACACTAACACACTTTGTCATCACAGATGCATCCATACATCATGTGAGGGTTAACGTGAAGTGTTACCTTACCCACACAAACAGTGACTTTACAGAAACTTTCCCAAAATATGTTTTACAAAGCTCCAAATCATCGCCATATTTCCTTCCTGCAAGCATCCACCTTTTCAACAGCGTGTGTTTTTCCACATCAACTGCCTTTCTCCTATAAAAACCCAACCCCCTCACCACCACCTCATCGATCATCACCAAATAAGAACACAATAATTATTAGTTAGATCAAACAAGTAGCGACAAAGATTTGTTAGTGATCCGTGCTGAAATGGCTAAGATCGCCGCCGCCGCGCTGTGCCTCGCGGCCCTGGTGGCTGTGGCCGTCGGCCAAGGCGAGGTCGAGCGGCAGAGGCTCAAGGACCTGCAGTGCTGGCAAGAGGTCCAGGAGAGCCCGCTCGATGCGTGCCGGCAGGTCCTGGACCGGCAGCTAGCCGGCGGCATGCGCTACGGCGTCGGCCCGTTCCGGTGGGGCACCGGGCTCCGGATGCGGTGCTGCCAGCAGCTCCAGGACGTGAGCCGCGAGTGCCGCTGCGCTGCCATCCGGAGCATGGTCAGGGGCTACGAGGAGACCATGCCGCCGCTGGGAGGACAGGGCTACTACTACCCCTGCAGCCAGGCAGGAGAGGGATACGGTTACGGTGAGAGTGGCCAGCGGCAGATGTATCCGCCCTGTCGTCCCGGCACCGGAGGAAAAATCGGCCGCGTGAGGCTTACAAAGTCCCGGCAGTACGCCGCGGGGATGCCGATGATGTGCCGGCTGTCGGAGCCCCAGGAGTGCAACGTCTTCTCCGGCGGCGACCAGTGTACTACTAGGGTAAGAGTGAGTCGGCGCGACGTGCAAGACGCATGTGCGCGTACAAATCCTGAATCATGTAGCTCTGAGGAATAAATAAGGGGATGTTGCCAGATAGTACTGGCACGGTTCGTGTAATAAAAAGGGTTCAGAAATAATTCAAATGAGCCCCATGGGAATCATACAGTTTGTTCCAGTTAGATTGATATATATCCTGCACCGAGAAAATCAAAAGAATTTCTGCATAAGTCAGACGATTCAAACTGGAGTACTGAGATGTATTTATACATTTTTTTGCGACAATATTTATACAAATTATTAAGAAGAGTGAAAAAGTATCAATAAGTACTTCCAGGGCAATTAAGCAAGCAGATATTTTTATTCACCATGGAATTCTAATATTCATTTTGTACCTGGCATCGACTATTCCTCAATTCTTCACCAAGGTGTATTGACTCACCAAGTAAATGATTATCAAGACAAAAAAAAACTATGCCATTCTACAATATTTCTTCGATAAGTTTGATAATTTGCTAGTCTCAAAGGGATTCTGCAGCCCTACTAATACTGCATCATAAATAACTAGGAAATGAAAAAAAGTTTCAAAATCTGCACATCTAATTTTATCAGTAAGGCCTTAGACCTTAGACCCTGTCTTAAAAAGGTACCATCGATTGATCACTCTTGCTTAGGTTAATCAGGCATCACTTATGAAGAAAGAAATATAAAGATTATTATATTAATGTCCACTCAAAAGATCTAGATAAGATTATTTATCTATCTAAAAAATAATAGTTAGATTATTAGACAAAGCATTGTTTTAGTATGGCGTATGCATAGTTCCGAAATCCCAATCAGAATGGGATAGAAATGCCAAGGTGTCTTTTTTCTCTTCTTTTTTCTTGGGAGTGTTAATTTTTATCCTTAAGGCCATGTTCGTTTGATCTTGAGATGGGTGGGATTGAAGGGGGGTGGGGGGGGGGGTCTCGACTTGTAAGGGATCGAATCCCTCTCAACCCCCTGGTTTTGGGATCAAACGAACATGGTCTAAACTGTCAGCACACGAGATTAGAAGGTTCCATGCAAAAATCACTATGCTTAGAAGGTTCCAGAGCCCATGTATGTACAAGACTAAAATGGAACTATATATATCCACACGCCATGCTAAAATCACTGTGCTTAGAAGGGTTTTTTCTTCACTCAAACCTCTTAGAAAAAAATGAACTTTGGAACTTGCGATGGATATAGCCATGAAAACTTCCAAAACAACTGTTTAAGGATGCTCCAAACTGTGAAGCTTAAAGCACAAGACTTTCATAGGCAGCCCGATGGGCCGAAAGGCAATGATGAAAAGCAAGTGAAGTCAAGATCGATGAACCAATATGATCACGTGATGATAATATTTTAAGTGGATCATATCATTGTTGATCGTGTTGGTATACATAGAATCTCATGTAGTCGCATCAACTTTGGAGGAGAAGGAATAGAATACAAACACAAAACCAAGACCCTAATGCTAAACCCATGTATAACCTAGGGATTTACTTATGGTGACATTTCACCATGCCTTGTCATAGGTGTGTAAAGAAGTTTATGATCATCTCAGGTTTAGGATAGATGGCCAATACATGGGTGTATCAAAATGTAATCCATTGAGAGGGTAAACTTGTTTGCATATCCACAAGTCATCTAGTGCCACTTCGACATGATCTAACTTTGCATCGTGTCATCCATCAACCAGAACGCTACTGATTCCTAGTGGCTCAACATTTGGACGAAGACAAGTTGAGTGGCTTTAATCCTTTGGAAAATGATTGTGAAAATGCTAACACTTACAAAACAACAGTCTCGGCCTATGCTACAATGGTGAAATTACACATTGGTGGTGTTAGCATGGGGATTATAAGTAAAGGAGATGAAGTTGGAGTTGATGTGGATCAACTAAAAACCAAGCATATGGAAAACCAAAACGAGAAGCTCTTAAAAATAAGACTCCACTAGTAGGAGAATGTCCTAACCCATAAATGAACAAGTTTTAAGTGTGTAATTGAAAGGTCCTTGTGTGTGGTTTGGTAATTGAGTGACAACCTGGTTGTGTTTATGTGAGATACCGGATGATTAGTCCATAGGTACAAAAACATATGCCATGAAGGTGAAAATGGCTTGGAGATATTGCAAAGCTCACACATGTGATGATGAAGGAGCTCATTCATTGCAAATGAGACATGACATTGAGTCATGTGATCAAGGTGGAGAAGATCAAGATATGACTTAACTTGATGGATCGGTTGCAAGCGTGAAGGGCAAGTTGGAGGCTTTGAGGCGATGGACCGTCGATGAAGCTTAAGATGAAGAAGACTTGCGCCGATGGACGAAGGCAGCGGTGAAAAGCAAGTGAAGTCAAGATCGATGAACCAATATGATCACGTAATGATATGAAGTGGATCATATCATTGTTGATCGTGTTGGTGCATGTGTCGGAGGAGAAGGAATGGAATCGTCTAACCTAGGGCATTTCATGGCATAGTATGTAAAGAGATGACCGGGTTTAGGATAGATGATACTATCAAGAGGGGTAAACTTGTTTGCATATCGGTCATCTAGTGCCACTCGGTGATCTAACTTTGCATCGTCGCTAGGATTGAGTGGGCGTGGCAAGTTGAGTGGCTAATCCTTTGAAAAATGATTGTGAAAATGCTAACACACATACACATGGTGGTGTACATTTGGTGGTGTTGGCACATTTATAAAGGAGATGAAGTTGGAGTTGATGTGGATCAACTCGGCGATGGAAACGGGGCGAGAAAGGTTTGAAACTCCACCGGAGTGTCCGCCCATAGAGTGGGATAGTCCGATGGTGCCATCGGCCATACATTTCATCGTGTCACGCAATGACCGGACGCTAACCTATAACCGTCGCAATGAGATGTCGGGCGGTCTTCGATGGACGCTGGCCGGGAAATTCCGGTTGTCTTTGCGATGGATGACGTGGCGGCTATCCGTTGACCGGACGCGATCCGGCGAGCCTTCTTGGAAGTGACGAGACGTGCATTCGCCAACTTAACCGTTGACGATATTTGACGATGGATGATGCATCCCGTTGACGTCCCGAGTTTTTAGCCTGACCGGAGCATCCGGTAGTCCCGAGTTTTGCCCAGCGAAGGGGTAACGGCTAGTTTAGCCCATGGGGCTATAAATAGAAGGTGGTCTCGGCATGGCTGGTGTTGAGCACCTCGGGGGACTTTGTGTCCATGCTTGAGAGTGCTTGAGAGCCCTCCATCTCACATATGCTTGATAGTGATCATCCGATTGTGTGAGAGAGCGAATCTAGTGCGATTGCATCATGAGGTTGCATCAAGTGGCACTAGGTGATCGAGTTGCAAGCCGGTGGTGCTTGTTACTCGTGGAGGTTGCCACCTCCTAGATGGCTTGGTGGTGGTCTCCGTCGAAGCCCACAAGAAGCTTGTGCGGTGCTCCGGAGAAGAGCTTTGTGAGGGGCATTGTGCTCGCCCCACGGGAGCCATGAAGAGCAACTCTAGTAAAGTGTGTCATTGAGCTACCCTCACGTGCGGGCTTGGCTGGTGATGCCAATTAGCCGCCGAACCACCAAGTGAGCCATCGACACAACGGGGACTAGCGTGTTGGCAAGCATGTGAACATCGGGAGAAAAATCACTGTGTCAACCTTGTTCTTCCTGTTGGTTTGCATCCTCGTTACACAAGCTTGTAATTACTTTCATATACATTGTGCTTGTGTAGTTGCTCTTGTAATTAGTTGGCTTGTGTAGCTCACTAGTTACCTTCTTGCTTATGTAGCATAGAAGTAGCTCCCTTGCGTGGCTAATTTGGTTTGTGTAACCTTGTTAGTCACATTACTTAGTTTGTGTAGCTAAGTATTTGCGCTCTCTAATTTGGCATTGGTTGCCTTGTTATTGAGCATTGCTAGTGAGCTTAGGTGGCTTTGTGCTTTTGCTTACTAGCATGTGTAGGAGCTCCTTTGTTGCTTAAAGTACTAGTGGCATAGGTTTGTGTGACCTTGCTTCTAGAATTGGTTAGGTGAGCTGTAACTAGCCCGACACCTTTGTTGCTTAATTAGTATCTTTGGAAGGTGCTAGAGAACATAAATAGAGGGGTGTAGTCTTGGCTAGACCGATAGTTTTAATTCCGCACTTGTTTCGGTTAGCCGACGCAATTAATTTTAGAAAGGACTATTCACCCCCCTCTAGTCCGCCATCTCGATGCTACAGTAATTCACAACACTTCTTTTCACAAATGTTCTCACTTATAGAATTTGTTATGTGATCCGATAATGCATGGCTTTTTTATGATACTTCTTTTTGCAAGTGCTCCCACTTACAGCATGTCTATTACAATTCAGTGATGCATGCCTTTTTTCAAGAATACACAGGAGAGATGCTCATGAATGATTATACAACCAGAGATACAACTTAAAACAAGAGAGCTAAAGCTAAGTTCTAACTTAACCAAGTGCTCCATCCCACACATAATTGCTCTCTGTTTTATCTTTAGTCGACTTTCAACTTGGATTTGTGTTAACATTCAATGTGTTTTCCACGGACTTCCATGTTCTCACGATTATAGGGAATACTAACTTAAGTATTCACCTCTTTGACTAACAAGAGTAAGGACTAATTGCATGTTCGGTATTTGCAAATGATTGAATATGGTTCGAGTTTGGCACCCACGTTTCCACCTCTCAACAATTAAGAAATTAAGAGGATCCAAAAGTAGCAAAGATATTGTCATTTCACTACTATACTGAAATCTTGACATGTTTCATCCTCCCACACACACACTTAAGAAGCGAGATGTTCATGATACTTGCAAGTATTATGGATTTAGCGAGTATACAGAGCACATATAATTACAAAAAAAAAAGATAGAAAGGTGTACCATTCAAATTCCGGCATCAATGAATTTTCTTTGTTCCAAAGAACGAGAACCACCACAAGAACGGTGAGAACACCGCAAAGTGATAGGCACCAATTTGCATCGATATAAAAACAACTCATGACCCATCGTGACTATAGCCAGGCAAATATCTGTGTTCTTTTTCCTAAAGTTTCCACAAACCTA